CTGGATCAGAACCGCTGCAGATACGAGTCACATTAGGAGAAGAAGAAGAAAATATCCTTTCTATAGTGCCTCTAAAGATGAAAATCACGAGGCGCTTCGCAAAAACAAAAATGTTAAAATCTAAAAAATTATTTAGAAAATGGTTAAAAATATATTTAAAATGAGCAAAAAAATTGACAATTGTGATTAAAAAACAAAATGTTAAGAAAGAGAGATAGTCAGTGGATCCTGAGGAAGGTGGAATAGGTGGCGAGAGCAGAATAAAGAGAATTACTGCTACAAGTCTTCAGCAAGCCATTGTAGTATATAATTCACAAACGCTTCTATCTTTGAACATAATTTGAACTGGATTATTGCCAACCCGTACATAATAGACATGCCAAGCAGAAATTAAATGTTATTACCATTGCCAACACAAATGCATGTTAATGAAAGGCATTTTATTTTGATATATTTATGTGTTATTTTGACAAAGATGGGTGTTATTAATACAAGCCTAAAAAGTTACTGAAATGTAGGTTAAATATTTAAAAATATTTTTATTATAAATATCAGATGGGAAAAAGGGAACTAAACACCAATCTAATGCATTTTATTGAGCCTTTTATAATAAGAGTCTGTTATTTCAGCCTGATCATTTTGTTGTTTATGTCATATTTTTTAGCAGCAAACTAGTTTTGTTTTTGAAACATTGTCAAATGGAATGTTAATTTAATCAACAGAAGCTTAGATTAGAACACTTAACGAAAAAATATGTTGCCTTTAAGAAAGTGAGGCAGTTGAATGCACAGAGTATGCATGTGTTCACGCACGGTCAGGATGGTACTACTTCTGCCTCAATTGGAGCCAGGAAAAACCCGGATTAAATTTATTGGAAAAAGTATCTTAAATAATATAAAACATGTAAATGCTTTTTGTTCTTTTTCTATTTCACACGTAGGAATGTGAGAAATACACTGACAAAACGATGAAGGTGATAGTGATGCACAACGTTATGGCTGAGGAGGATCCATCACATGTGCCTATTGTGATAGAGGGAAATCAAGTGATGGAAGAATGTGCAAGCCAAACAAAGGCATGTGTGCTGCTGATGCAGCTGCTATATGCCCTCAAGCTTAAACATCCAAAGCAGCTGAAGAACACATTTGAAGCTTTTCAAAAACTTTTTTGGAACTTGACGGGACAAACTACTGTAAAAGGTACACAGCCTCAAAAATAAGCTTATGCAATTAACTCACATTCCACCCCATCTTCCAGGTGAATCTTTTGACAGAGTTGTAATGTAGTGTAGTTTTTTTTTATTTTATTTCTCCTCCATCCTCCGCTACAGACACAAAATCAACCTTGTAGACTTTTTGTGTGTGCTTTTTGCCTTAGAAAAGATAAGTGACATCTTATGTTTTGTTTGCATTAGTCAGATATCCAGAAACATTAGAAGCTGTAAATGATGTTAGTGACTTATTAAACAGGTCTATTCATTGAAATGCCGTCTGAAAGTGTTGCACTGCACTTTATTCTGTTTTCTTTGAGAATTTGGGGCAACACTGCTGCAAGGCTGTTCAAGTATTTGTTGTATAAATGCACCTGCACTGCAGATATTTTGAGTCACTGTTAAGGAAAGCTTACACAAGTAAGATTTTAGAGAACGTCTTTATGTGATTGGACATTCCTTCCATTATTTTTTTCTAAATCAGGTGTTTGCACCAATAAAATTGGTTCATTAGACGATGTTGGGATACGATTTTTCATTATAAAATATTTAAATGTATTGATGTTTATTGCCTATTATTTATTAAATACCGTAAGTCTTAGTGAAATTGAATGGGTAGGGTTTCATCGGTCTGGATTAGTAGAAGGATGTTCTTACTAGCTGAATGAATTAATGGAACATCGTTCAGCTAAAGGTAACAAATTCTAACTAATTTGGTTAAAAAATAACTTTTTGACCAACTTTTCAGGTGTCTGCAAAAAATATATTTCTGTGATAAAAAAGTGTAAAGAAAACATTTACTGTCATTTATTTCCAAGCTGTGATGGCTGGCCTTAAGTGCTGAGCACAGAGGGAGTGGAGGTGTGACTCCAGAGACTTCAAGAGGTCACAGTTTCATATTTTACCCTGACGTGACAAAAAGTAGACGATGCCGTATCAAAGTGAATCGATTTAAGGCCACTCTGCAACTTGTTGCCCTGCTGGTGGAATGTTCCTGTCAGGATTTATCAGTCTTTCCCACAACAGATTGATTCATTTCAAGGCCATTTTTTTAATTCCAATTCTTCACTGGTGGCGATCTTCTGAGAATATCCACACATTTCCAGACTGATCCTGCTGCAGCACAGCGAATCGAATCACTCATCATGACATTACTTATAGCAGGGTGGAGATTTGTTCAGAGCTGCTAGCCTTCCTCAGAATCCTGCTCATTTTCAGACTTAGATTCATTCATATGCTTGATTTCCATCTAGAAAGGAAGAGAAAAGCTGCCTTTGCCCGTTTTTTAAAGATCAGATTTGAGTTTTCTCATTTATCAAGCATGCAAAAGCCAGCAAGCAAAGCAAACTATTAATTCTCCTTTTTGAATAAAGTTTTTTAAAACTTTCATTTTAAATTTCACCCAACTAGTGAGGAGAAGGAAAGTGGTTCTGAATTGATGCATTGAATTGCTTGAATTACCTTATGTGTTCCATTTCATTCCCTCATCAGCCTCCTCGTCATTCCCAGGCTTAGAAGTGAACATTTAAAGTAAAGCTGCAGCGCTGAAGCTGCCATCGGCACATGACATTAGCTGAAGTGTGTAATCGGCAGAACACTTGTGTGCTGTGAAGAGCAAAACTGATTTCATCCACATGGATGAACATTGTTCACGCCTTGTAGGAGCTTAGTTGATTTGCATGATTTTATTGAGTCATTCACGATTCAGAGTCAAATCTGTTTGTTCTGCATGTCAGCTGAGAGCAAACAAAAGAGAATAACACAGAACCATGATGACTGATGTCGCTGATGAGACCCTGACAACCATAAGTACAGGGAACATCACTGATTTAATCAGTCCTGTAGTAGAGCTGATGTCCAAACAACAGTATGCTAATAGGGGAAAAATCTAAATGTTTTCAAACTCAAAGAAGTAAATAGTCTGATTACTTCATTTTTACATTTTTATTCACATTATATTAAATATTCAAAACTAAATTACTAAAACCAAAATGAAAAGGGGACAGAAGGAAGAAAAACATATGTTAGCTGCCCCCTAAAATAACATTAATACAAATGAAACAACAGTATAATTATAAATTTACTTTGAACAAAATTATTTCTAGACTGGTTGGCTACCACAACTTCAATTTATAATTAAATTATATTAATAATAAAATATAACAAAATAACACAGAAAAAAGAACAAGAATACATGCTTTATATGGCTAAATATAAACTCACATTAGCCATGCCATCAGTTGTTTAAATGATCGTGTGTCATTTTCAGGATATACTTTTCAACTTTACCAGCTCAATCTTTATTTACTTGCCCACATTTTAAGACAGATTGTATCCCGTTTCCCTCAGTTTTTTATAATTAAATGAAAATATAGTCTGCAGGCCAGCTCACTACAGAAATATGAATGGATCAGCCTTTAAAAAAACAGTTGGTAAACACTAAGATCAACATCAGAGGAGTGTGTGTGTGTGTGTGTGTGTGTGTGTGTGTGTGTGTGTGTGTGTGTGTGTGTGTGTGTGTGTGTGTGTGTGTGTGTGTGTGTGTGTGTGTGTGTGTGTGTGTGACCTCTCGTGCAGCTGTGTTTGTCTGATGTGCTCAGTGTAAAGCTGTGCTGGGCGACTAGGGGGAAGCTTTGAGCTGCTGGATGCTGTTTTGTGAGGATGATTAATGACCAGACGTTGGCGAGGAGCTTTGTGAAGCTACTCTAGCCTTGGAGCTGGATCGTCTTCCATTTACTGACAGAAAATCCTGAAAAAAGAGTCAGACACACGGGCTTTGCTTATGATGACAAATGTTATGTCACAGATCTCTACAGAGTACAGCGAGTGTTGTTCATTGAAAGGGCCTGTTGTAATCAGATATAAAGTGTTAAACAATTATCAGATTGGTGATTTTCAAAAACAATTTCAGTTTATCAATATTTATTAATCTTTAGGTAAGAAACTGTCTGGCTTATCTGATTTCTGCTCCATTTTTCACTTTGCCACATAGTTTATTCCTCAGCTCACTCTTTTTTCTGCTGCTTTTGTGTTTCTCTCTACCTCTTTGTCAGCACTGTCCTATTTTTATGGTTTATTTCAGCGGCTTTTTACTACAGTAATCACCCATTCAGACATTCTTGTCTTGCAAATTCACGTTTCCCTTTTTAGACGTTGCTGTGATGATCTAACTCTTAAACCAACCCCACCTCACCTACAGATATCCACATAAAGAACTGAAGGTCTATGAGCTCTGTAGTTGTTGTTGTGATGTGTAATGTGATCCAAGCTGTTTTCATGGATGGTAAACAACTTTGTCATGCTTGCACCAGTGTGTTCTGTTGTTTTGTGATTGACGGGTCTGAGAGAAACATGCCAGGATGATGCCCAGGACATGGTGTGATTGGGAGCAAATACAGTGAGGTGCAAACATTTGATTTTCCTATCCCTGTCACTTACCATGAGAAGAAAACTCATTTTGGCCATTTTTATTCATGATCTTGCATTTTTGGTCTTTACTCAAATCTTACAACTGTATTTGAGGATTTGAGCAAAGCTTCCCTTTTGGCTTAGCTCATTCTTCAGCTTGCTGCCCTGATCCACCAGTTATGATCCTAATATCAGGTTAACATTTGGATATTTGTTGATGATGGGAACATAAGATGTTTGTTTTTGTCTAAGTGGAGATCTTTGTGAAAGTTTGTCTTTGTTGCTTTGTTAAGGAACAGATAAAAATGCAGAGTGCGACTTTATAAAGCATAAAGTGTCAGTACAAACTCAAGAGTGTTTTTGAATCTGTTTGTTCTTGCAGACGATCGGCCCAAAGGAAGGCTGGCAGGTGTACAGCTCAGCCCAGGATGCTGACGGGCGCTGCATCTGCACAGTGGTAGCACCAGAACAGAGCCTGTGCTCCAGAGATGCAAAGAGCAGGCAGCTCCGCCAACTACTGGAAAAGGTGAGCAGATGTAAACACAGCATGCTCCACTCTCTGCTGAAGACTCACACTTCAGCAAAATAGGAGTCCATCATTACCAGGGCATGAACTGGCACCAGTCTAGGGGGGAAATGCATCTATATTTAATAAATTCACAGCAGAGTGTTTTATTTAGAAATGTTACCAGAATTATTTGCATTACCGTGTGACAGAATTGGAAATATATATATATATATATATATATATATATATATATATATATATATATATATATATATATATATATATATATATATATATATATATATATATATATATATATATACGTTTATATATATATGTTTATATATATATATACGTTTATATATATATGTTTATATATATATATATATTTATATTTATATATATATATATATATATATATATATTTTTTTTTTTTTGCATTAGTGTTACATGTGTATTGATGTGTTTTTCACTTTATTTTATTTATTTATTTATTTTGCACTTTTGTTTTATGTTTTGAATCTTTGTCTTACATAAAACAGTCTGTGATAGAGGAAAGGATGGAGACATTAAACCAGGGATTTTTATCCTGAGTCTGCTTTATGTGCATATATATATATATATATATATATATATATATATATATATATATATATATATATATATAGTTTTGTTATTTTTATCATCACTAATGATATATTTATTCTTTTTTTAGTCTTAAATTGCATCAGTATTACATCATTTGCATGCCTTTTACTTTAATTGGTCAATCTAACTAATTTCCTCCCTTGTCTCTCTCTCTCTCTCTTTTATCTGATCTTCTCCAAGTGCTTTAGCGTTTCAGCTTACATCAGCCATGGTCATGTTAAACAGTAGGGTCCAAATATATCACTGTCTCAAAGATGGAGTTTAATCGCACCTGTCTTCTGTTTAAGGTGCAGAACATGTCTCAGTCCATTGAGGTGCTGAACCTGCGGACTCAGAGGGATTTTCAGTACGTCATGAAAATGGAGAACCAGATGAAAGGTTTGAGGACCAAGTTCAGGCAGATCGAAGACGACAGAAAATCCATTATTGCTAAGAATTATCAGGTATAATGAATTCAATCATAATTAAGTCTTTGCTGGATATTATTTTCTTTACTACATTTTACCTCGATAGCAGTTGTTCAGCACTGATTTCATGACACGTATTTTACACTCTAATAGAGAAGAGATGCCCTGGAGATTCTGGGCTAAAAATACTCTGGAAATTAATAAGTTATAAAAGATAAAAGAAAAGCAGGTTTCAGCCCTAAATGAATGCATTGGCCATTATAATAACATTATTGTGAAATAAAAATTGAATGGACAGATAATAGTGACAAACAAATGTCAAACGAGTTGGAAATATACCTACATAGAAATAACAGTAACAGTAATATTCTGAAAAGATTAACAGACACATGATTAGCACTTTTTTTCTTCTTCTTCCTGGCACTCGCGGAGTACAGAAGCTTCTCTTTTCGCTCCCTTATCTTTTTTCCCAAGGTTCTTTGTCCTGTCTGCCCACAGAGCGCTTCTCTGTATTTCTTCTGAAAAACCCTATTTTTTACCATGGATTTGATGAATTGGTCATTCAACGCAATTGATAAGATTTATTCAACTATGAGAACGGAGCAGGGGGCTCCCACATGTCCACAGGGGACACACTCGGTGGGATACATGCTGGATTCCTGGAAGGAGTGTAAGATCATATGCCTCTCCCAGCTGTCCATTGAGGACATCGAAGACGCGTGGATATTTGGTCTGATGATCACTGGATTTCTCCTGATTGGAGTGGGAGGATATCTGGTTTTCTGGAAATTTGGGAAGACGGGAGCGATTGGAGGGCGACCCGCACCCACGGAAAGCACCGTCCGTGTGGAGACTTCACAGACTGGGACGTTACTCGAGGTGAATCGTAAGCTGGACAATGTTCTAGCTGCGATACCGGTATTAGTGCACAAAATGGATGTCATCTCCTAGAGAGAGTCACTGGACGGTATAGACAAGTTTAAAAACCCAAAATTGGCTTCAATGAAGGACTGGAATGATCAGTTTAAAGACTGAAGGCAGAGGGGAAAATGATCTCAGCCTGACCCAAACAAATTCTTGTTATCCGAATCTGACGCCCTGGTAGCCTTGAGCGGCAACAAACCCCCATGAAGGAATGCAGACAGATGCTGTGAAAACCCGACCTACCCCTCCTTCGGATTGTGGACTTCAGCCTGGCGAGGTCGTCAACCTGATCTTCCTTCACAAGTCCAGCGTTGGTGGTGTGAAAGCTGCCAATTTGCCACATCGCCATGCCGCCACGGCGCTTTCATTAAACACACTATGGCAGCAGTATCACGCTGTTTTGCCAGCATCTTGTGAAAATAGCTAAAGAAACGCACATGTTTAAATTTTCCAAAGTTGATGCCAAAACCATTTCAAACGAGCGCCATTCCTGATGCCATCTTGGTAGTTTTGCAGCTCTGGTGCTAAGCCTGCCCAGCGTCTCTCTACAAATAAAGAGCACTGTGATTGGTCTGACCTAAGACTGTTTGGGCCAATGGTAAACCTCCTGAGTCTACAATGAAGCAAGGCTAGACTGACTGGCAGAGCTAAATCTTTTTGCTACCTCTGTGTTTTTGTTCTTTGGACATCAATGATAAATGATAACTTACCCGCACTTGTATAGCACCTCTCAGAGTAAGGACTCCAAAGCGCTTTACACTACAATGTATCATTCATTCATTCACACACACACACATGCACACACTGATGGTGATGAGCTACGATGTAGCCACAGCTGCCCTGGGGCGCACTGACAGAGACGAGGCTGCTACCGGTCCCTCCGACCACCACCAGCAGGCAAGGTGGGTTAAGTATCTTGCCCAAGGACACAACAGCAGAATTCTCTGTCTGGAGCAAGGATCGAACCTGCAACCTTCCGATTACTGGACAACCTGCTCAACCTGTTGAGATACTGCTGCCCATCAAGTCTCAGATTCTGTAACACTGGAAAAACTTTTGACTATTGGGGAATGAAAAGCAACACTTCTTTAGATTATCATGTCCAGGTAAGGAAAATGTTAGTTTTCAAACATGACAACATAACCTATTTAGAATAACTGTTTCAAAAGATGAATAACCAGGATTGGTGTTGCCTTACCTTTAATTTTGCAAACAACTTTATTTTTAGGATTAACCAGACGTCCGGAATCTTGAATTCCTCCAGGCTTTACTCCGAGTGTTTTATGGGCAGATTTTAATGTCCACGCTCCACGGACTCTTTAAAGGTTCCACAGATCCCCGTAGAGACCAGCAGCCTTTAGGATGCTCTCCACTTGTTATGCGTGTTATACGCCTACAACATGCTAAAAGTTTGATTCCTCAGGCAGAACCAAGGATCCTTTTCTCTAGAGCTCTGACTGACGGGTACCACAAACAGTCAAGGTGCTTCACAGACACAACTTCACTCATTTCACCATCTTAAAACGGAAAACGTGTGATTTAGAGCAGCTTGTTGGAAACTAAGAGGCACTGCTGCTGGATTTAGTTTTTTGTTTCAGTGCTTTGATTCACATTTTACTCTCTGGTCATGTTTTGACTTATATTTGAATTAGTCATGTTTTATGATGTTTTCTTGGTTTTCCCAGTTTAGGACACAATAAGACATACTTGATGACTTTGTTTTAGCTCTTAAGCGTTTGTCATTAGTCCCCTTGGTACTGTTGCATTCTGCTAGGTTTTCTTTGCTCTCAGATCAGTTACTCACTCTAGTTTTGTTACAGTCTTAGTAACATTTCATTGTAGCATCCTGGTTGTTAGTGCTGTTTGAGATTTGCACCTTCTACCGGCCCCAGTAGGGCAGGATAAGGTGATGGCAGTCAACATTAACGTGTTTGTCATTTGCTGAATGAAGAAAAGGATGTATAATCATAACATGAGACCCATGGAGGACTATCTTAGGCTAATTCTATTTATTTATTTATTTTTAAAATGTTATGGAGTTGGTGCAACAAATATTCAATTTCAACAAGTGGTTTTCTCCTAAACTCTGTCCTTTTAGCCTCCATCCAACCAGATCCCTTATCTCAAACCTTTTACCTTAATCTGTCTCTCTTTTTCCCGTTTCTGTTGCCTCCACAGGAGCTTAAGGAAAAGATGGACGAGCTGAAGCCACTGATCCCTGTTCTGGAGCAGTACAAGATGGATGCTGCACTCATCTCCCAGTTCAAGGAGGAGATCAGGAACCTGTCTGTGGTGCTGACAAGCATCCAGGAGGAGCTAGGGGCCTACGACTACGATGAGCTCTATCAGCGAGTCCTGCGACTGGACAGCCGGCTCCGCAGCTGTATGGGGAAGCTGAGTGAGTAGGGTTTTTATATAAAAAGTTAAAATGTCATTAAAAGGTGCATATATTATAGAACCTGCATGTGCCAAGCTGCTTCTATAGTTCTGGAAAAGGTTGCTGGTTTTGTATTGGCCCATGAAATGTTACATGAAGTGAAACATTGTCACTGACATACCCCTTTTTTACTTTGTGCTTCTCGCTAACACACAAATAAATAATCATGTCCAAAGGGGATGCATAAATAAGAAGTAGTCCTTGTACATATGAGTAATAAGTGAGTGGTTTTTATACAATCTGGGATCCTTCCAGCTCAATAATGGGTTTTCAAAGAGCATCGCATCCTGAATCTAAATTTCTTCTTCTTTTTAAAAAATTGTGGTTAATGCATCCATGCTTTCTTAGTTTTTCTTGCAGTCAAGCAAACTAAGACTGATTTATTCGTGTTGTTGGTTGTTAGATGAATTGGCGGCTTTTAACAGCAGAATCTTCCAAAACGGAAGCTCAGAGTAACCTGTCCTCTTTATTTGCATCCTAATGAGCAAGAATGGAGGCTGCTTGTAGCCTTAAAAACTACAGTTACAGCACAGTTTGGGTATTAAAGTTTGAGTCACTAATGTCAGTTTCCAGAGGCTTAACGTCATCTTTTACGAGTGACTGTAAGAATGAGAGTGCTTTTGTTTTAGACACAAAATATTCCCACAAGAAAACTAGAAATGTGCTGCTTTACCTACAAACAGCCGTTGCACAATTAAGCTCCGAGTTAGATGAAGCACCTTGCAGCCTGTGCTGTCTTAGTATGCACAGAGGACCAGCTCTCTGCTGGCAGAAGCATGAAATTGGCTTGAGAAATCTAGTTGGAGACAAAAACCAGCCCAGCACATCTTATCGCTGCTTTTTTTTTATTAACAGCGTGTGGGAAATTAATGAAAATCACTGGACCTGTTACAATAAAGACATCTGGAACCCGGTTTGGGGCGTGGATGACTGATCCGTTAGCGGTGAGCAGAAACAACCGGGTGAGTTACTGAAGCTCTGGGGGTGTTTTCGGTGGGGGAGCAGTTTGTAAAGTCTGTGTTGCTTTTTTCAGAAATAACTGTTTACAAAAGAAGGCAATAGAGCTCTGGGAGGTGACGTCACACGATCCCATCATAAACCACGGTGCTCCATATTGGCAGGAAACAAATTGTAAACAAGCCAACTAGCCGAAAGTTTTCCAGCTTTCAGATAATGGTTGACTCGTGTTGTGCTCCTGGTTGCGCAAACCACCGAGGTCAGGTTCAAGACCGAGCCTTTTATCGCATTCCGAAAGACCCAGCTCGGAGGGAAAGATGGATTTCTGCGATCAAACGAGCTCGAAGCGCGATGAAGAAAACCGAGCGTTGGAACCCGTCGCACAATGGATTCCGCTTGTGCAGTGACCATTTCATTTCAGGTAACTTCACATAATTTGAAGTCAAGTTTTAAAAATAGTAGTTCTAGTTAATGTAATCAAAACATGAGTCCATGGGGTTAATGATAACGGCCAACGAATGCTGAAAAATGATCTGTGGCAGTGTAAACAAAAGGCTTAACAGTAAACGGAATTTGTCTTATATTACTCAAAAGTAATAGCTACCATTTTTTTCTGTCTAAAAATATTGTCTAAAGTTCGTACCAGTAAAGGCCTTTGTGTTTTGTTGTAATCCTCCTGACTTCTGTTTGTTCCTTTTGTCCTAGGGAAAAAGAGTGACAATCCGCTTTCACCCGACTATGTTCCATCAGTTTTCAAGCATGTGCCCTCTCCAGTAAAGAAGAAGGGAGAGTTGCTTATAGAACAATTTAATAGAAGACAGGCAGCTAAAAAAAGAAGATTACAGCAAGATTTCACAGAAGCAGCCACACAAGCAGCCATGGGATCATATATTTCTGCTGGTGAAGCCCCCTCCATCAGGGACTACACTGAACCAGAAAATGACTCCCAGCCTTCTGCAGGACCATCCACTGTCACAGGTTGCACAGAACCCAAACATAACTGCCAGCCTTTGGAGGAAGATAGTAACACTGGACCTTCATGTGAAAATGAAAACTGTAAAACAATAATCTATTCACTCAAATTGGAGGTTCAAGCCTTAAGGGCTGAAAATCAGCTACTAAAGGAGAGCTTGTCTAAAACTGAACTAAATGATTCTGCTCTGCAAAACAGTGATATAACAGTTCTGTTGACTGGATTACCCACATTTTCAAGTCTGATGGCTCTTTTCAATGTTGTTTTCCCATTTCTTAAAATGAAAGCCTCCTTAACATTATTTCAGCAGTTTGTGTTGACCTTAAGTTACGGATGAATTTAAGCTTTGATTTTTGGCTTTTTATTTTGGAGTTGATTCCACCACAATTTCAAAACTTTTCAAGCACTGTATTAGTATGATGTACTGTAGATTAGTTCCAAGTCTTATCGTTTGGCCTGAAAGAGATATTTTAAGACAAACTCTACCACATGCATTTCGTGACAAGCACTTTGAGAAAACTGTCTGTATTATTGACTGCTTTGAAATATTCATTGAAAAGCCAAGTAATCTTTTAGCCAGTGCGCAGTACAAATCACATCACGCAATAAAATATCTGATTGCCGTTAGCCCACAGGGATCTATTTATTTTATTCCAGTGGGTGGGGAGGCCGCACAAGTGACAAGTTCATCACAGAAAATAGTAATTTTTTATCACACTTGCTTCCAGGAGATCTAGTTTTGGCAGACAGAGGCTTTAACGTGAGACAGTCTGTACAATCTTTTCAAGATGACAGAAAGATTCAAGCTTTAGCCCATGGTAAAAACAGTTAGATCCCGTTGACCTTGAAAGCACCTGATGCTTAGCATCACTCAGGATACACATTGAAAGGGTCATAGGAGTTGTTTGTCAGGAATGCACTTTATTGCAAAGCACCGTACCCATCACATTTACTAACATTGACAAAGAAAATGATGTGATGCATCTGGATAAAATTGCGCAGGTGTGTTGTGCTCTCACAAATGTATGTGAATCAGTTGTACCCACCCAGTAGGCTACAAGTAGTGTGATTACAATTTGATTTGCATTAATTTTTCAATACAGAAGCCTAAAAAATAAACTGTTAAAGAAATGTGATATTTGTACAGATTCTGGAACATTGAAGTTGTCCATCAAATAAACACTGTTGGACTAGCTGTTCTTTTGTGATTTGATTGTTCTACAGGTGGGACAAATCCACTGTTTAGGTGCCCTTTTGATTCCCAGACAGGTTTGATGAAACCTCTTTGCAGAGCAAAATCCAGACACACAAACCAACATGCTATCAGACTCTGACTCTCGACAATAGCACCACTGTGGACCACTAGCACACTCGAGTTTAGGTGCAGAGAAAACCTTGGCTACTAACTCAGGAAGGACACATGTTTTATGGAATTCTTTAGCAATCAGTAGTTCTTTTTTAAAAAAAAACTGTCATCTGGCAAGATCCGTTCAACAAAAGGTGACGTAGAATCCTTATCAGTCCAAACAATGAAGTCACAATATGATTCGCCAGTCATGAACATTTGCATCTGAACTTGAAAAAAGTGACTATGGTCATGTTTCAGTCTCATGTTTCCTCTTTGGTCTTTTTCAAGACGGAAACTTTATTTTTTATCGCATCAGCAACAGTTAAATCTTTGGCACAAAAGGGACACTTGATTTCTATTACACCAGTACCACAGCAGCTGCAAGACACAGAGCCGGCGTCCGGTGATGCTCCAATAAATGGATGAGTGGTTGAGATTGTGAACCCAGTCTTTTTGACCAGAATGTGTGAGACGATGTTGGTTTTCATAGTGTGGTCGTGCTGCAGCTTCATGTTTACAGCCCCATCTGCAGATAGGAAAAAAAGAGATGTTAAATATCAGATAAACATTAATTTCAAAAAATAAAAAAGCCTACACAAACCACAACCTTGTGTAAGACAGGAAACACATTGTTGCTTCACTTGAAAAACTGCAAGACTGTGGCTAACAAATATTTTTTATAAGAGATACTGAAGCTTTCCTGATGTCTGTTTTACCTGCTGCTCTGAATGTGGATGCAGTAATTCTGCCAGCTCTCTGTTCAAACCTTATTTTGGACTTTTGCTGATCTCGCGTCTGCTTCTCCACCACTTCACTCCGCAAATGCAATAATAATTACTACATATATCAAATATGACTAACCTTATGAAGACAGAGAGTTCAGCTGATACGTTACCTGTTCTTTACTCACTGACAACTGTTCAAACAAAGCTTCTGCTCTTTTCTGCAGCTCATCTTGACTCACTTCGCCCTGGTCTGCTTTTTGGATTTTTGTGTGTGGTTAAACACAATATCCTTCCCCTGCAGATATTCCACCCTTTTCATAGCAATATCACTTGGTCTGTCCCATTTGCATTTTTTTATGTTGCTGTTACCTCATCTTCCCTTCCTTGGTTATGCTGCCATAATCTAAACAGCATAGCAGACACATGAGAGCAACACTCTCCCTACCAGCTGTGCAATTACAATAAGCTCCTAGCACAACACCATCTCTTCTAACCACTGCCCATGTTTTGTTTTTTGTTTTTTTGTTGTTGTTTTTTTGGTGGTGGTGGTGGTGGTGGTGGTGTGGGGGGGGGGGGGGGGGGGGGGGTCATTTAGTCTTTGTGAGTGATTTACCTGTAAAAAAAAATCAAACATAAAATAACGTTCTGCTATTTGCTTCCTGGCTAACGTATCATAGCATATGCTGGCATACCACCGGCATTATGTTTGGTAACTTACCTTTGTAGTGACGACAAAACAATCCCTTTGTTGTAAACTCTACAGCTGAATCTCAGCCACGAATCCCGATTGAATCCATTTATGTCCCTCCAGACTTTTGTAGGCTTTCAGCGAATCTCCAGTGTAGTGTGAAGGAAAGTTGATGAGATCATTTTATATGTCGGGATACTGTAACTTTGAGAGTCCCGCGACGCATGCCACCTGATCTGTTGGTTTAAAAAGTAAGCCAGGAGCTAAATAGGGATCACTAATCTGTAGTCTCTGAAGTTTAGTGGTGTATCGCTCTTGATCACTTTCCAAAAGTTGCCTGCAACCATCCATTGTATTCGCCGTTGTTCATCTATTTTCCCTGTTTGCGTTCTTGCCAATATGGCGTCGTAAACAAACCTTGTCACATGACGCCCGGAGCTCTGTACAAACAAGTTGGAAAATATTGTAAAAAGATGTAGGTAAAAACATGCATAAAAGAAATTGACAAAACCAATAAAAAGAACAGAAATTAATTAAATCACACAACAGGTAAATGGATCTGTAATAATATTTGGCAAGTTTGACTTATTCTAGTCAGTTATTCAGTAGGTTCAATAGTATCCTTTTTACTAAGCTGCAGGGTAAAAGAAAATGTTGACTGATTTCTTTTGAAATTTAAAGTTTGGTTCAGATTTTTTTTTACATTATGGGTTTTCCATGCAAGAACAATATGTAATAAATGTATTGAAAGATAAAACATAGGTAATCTTCCAAATGAGGTAAAGAATATCCTCTTTGCTTAATAGAAAAAAGGAAAATTAGAGTAAATCCAGTAGTGGAGAGCTTCCAAAAATCATCATCAAATTTAGAAAACAGTGTTCAATGTGAGACATCTCTTCACCATGTGTATGCCTCCATGACATCCACAGCACTGAGAATATGTCACATTTGTGTCACATCACGTGATGCCACTGACACACATAGTTCATTTATTTTTGTATGATTTGATTTGATAATAAGTGGGTTTTGTCTTAACCTTAGCATACATTGTTGTTGGAGCAGAAATAGAGGTCTAAAATAGAAAATTTTCACATTTTAAACCGTGGCTCCAAACCTTTTTTCGCGAGGACGCCCTTTCCTGTGTCCCAGAAAAGCCAGGGACCCCCAAACACCAACTCCTACGTGCATGCACACAAACAAAATATGTGTTAAAATGACCCTTTACAGGGTTAATGAAAGGCCACCCAGCCCTTATCGCCCCCTGTGATCAGAATATTCCACTTGCAACTTCAGACTGGCGGGTCGCTCTGTTGGGACTTACGGAAAATGGAGCTGACATACTTGGTGCTGCAGTCTGCTTCTAGCATGTTTCCTGCATGTTTTAGATCATGAACACAGCTGATTTGATTAATTTAGAGATGAATCACTCCTGTAGACATTAATGAAGGCTGGGAGACTTTTCACCTGTTAGATTGAGGTGTTAAAAAGACAAATGCACAGCGAGGAGATAGGTTTTGGTTTCAGTTCTACAAACAGACAGTAGGGGGTGCTGAAAACAAACCAAAACGGTCTAGTCCCCCTTTAAAAGTGAATAATTACAAACGTTATACAGACATACAAAGTTATGCCTCTTAAATAGAGTTTTGATTGTACTATTGTGTGTTTTCTTGATGTTACAAATGTAGTTTTTACAACTACAATATAATCTCACAACATCAGCACACACAAAATTGTGGTGATCCCCTGCAACCTTCTGGGGACCCCAGATTGGGAACCACTGTGGACTAATCAGACTTAAATGTATTTCAAACATTGCTTTTGTAAAGTAGCGAATAATTGCATCAGGAGCCTTTAGGTCCAAAAATGGAGTAGGTGGGTGTGCATAACACCACTTAAGAGTAAAACAGTGTTGAGATTTATCAATGATGTCGATGTAAAAGACAGCCAGCTGGTCGGGTCAAACCCTGCCTGTGATGTCATGCCTAAGAGAAAACGGGATTGGTTATGAAAAACCAATAAAGTTGACTTCTAATCTACATAAATGTTATATTATTATGATGATGATTTTTCTATTTTGGGGCTTATTGTGACACTTCCATTTCCTCTCTGATGTAGGTTTGGTACATGGACAGCTATACCAACAGTAAGATTGTTCGCGAGTACAAGACCATGGATGACTTTGTTACAGGTGTGGTTTCTCGAACCTACAGCCTCCCATTTAAATGGGAGGGAACCAATCACATCGTCTACAATGGGTCCCTTTACTACAACAAGTACCAGAGCAACATCATTGTGAAGTACAGCTTTGAGACGGGCACCGTGCTCGCCCAGAGAGCTTTGGAGTTCGCCGGGTTCCACAACATGTACCCGTACACCTGGGGAGGATACTCCGACATTGATGTCATGGCTGATGAACTGGGAATGTGGGTTGTGTATGCAACCAATCAAAATGCCGGGAACGTTGTGATCTCTCAGATAGACCCTGACACCCTGCAGGTTCTGAGGACCTGGAACACAGAGTACTCCAAAAGGAATGCGGGTGAATCGTTTATGATTTGTGGAACGCTTTACATCACCAACTCTCACCTGTCAGGAGCAAAGGTTTACTATGCGTACTCCACTAAGACATCCACTTATGAGTACATAGACATCCCCTTCCACAACCAGTACTTTCACATCTCCATGCTCGACTACAACGCCAGAGAACGAGCTCTTTATGCCTGGAATAATGGGCACCAGGTGATCTTTAACGTCACCCTGTTTCATGTCATAAAAACTGACGATGACTCTTAAACTCCATGCTTTACCAACCACATGCATTTGTGCCGCAAGGATCCTCTAATTATGCACATTTCCTCCCATTAAATGCAGACTGATATGTTTATGTGAACTTTTTTGAGATGACATCTCTGTATTCTTTGCAGAGGTGACCATGGACATGACTTTACAAAAAAAAAAAAAGTTAAATATACTTTAATATTTTCCATTGCTGCTCAACAGACTTTTATGCCTTATCTGCAAAGGGTTGGGTTTCTCAGACAGACGGCCTCAAAGAAGCTTTTGCATGAATGTCAACATTTCTGCTGTAAGCTGATATAATATAGCTATTTTCTTGCAAATTAGTCATTTGCTTACAGTGGTTGCTTTATTTGTTCATTTAATAAAGTGCTTTAAGTCTGTATTTGATGTTTGAAACTTATTTGCCGATGTAACTGATCATTACCGGCTTCCATTTTGTGGAAAATTGCCATGTAAAATATCAATGTTATGATATCGCTGTGAAAAAGGAACATTTGTATTTTTATAAACTAAACCATGAAAAAGTGTCTGTGATGTCTGATTCATTAAAATAGTTTTAATTGCTAAAAAAAATAATAATTATTGTAATGATGAAAGATTTGCATTCAAATGACATGATGACTTAAATAGGTCAGACATGTTAATGAAATTGTGTTTAGATTAAAATTAATGATGGTGGAAGAACTGTCAGATCATTAGAATAATTGGAAAGTGATTCGAAAGGATTATATGGCTTTTTTTTTTAAACTCTTGTTTCAGTTTCAGATCTTTATGGTTTTGCATTTGGTCCTTCCCAAATGTACTTGACTTAAGTGGTCTCATTTTCTCTGCATCCAACAGTTGGATGATTTTTTTGTTTTGTTTCTTCTCAGTGGCCCAGTGGAACTGTGTATTTTTTGAGGGATTTTCCAATAGATCTCAACGTTTTCCACTCAGAATTTTTCTATTCTGCAGCAAGGAGGTTGCTGGTTTCAATCCGCCCTGTGCAACCTTTCTGTGTGGAGGTAGCCCGCCCTCCCCATGAATGCATAGGTTTTCTCTGGGTACATTCTCCCTCGTACCATTAACCAAAACTTACATATCAGGCAGATTGGAGACTAAATTCCCTATGAATGCAGGCAGCAGGTACCAATGGTAACAGTAAGGGTGCAGTGAAAATGAAAATGGGATCCAATCAACAACTTATTAAATAGGGTGGGTCATAACCAAGAACCGTATTTATTTAAACTCTAATTTTTTCCTTAAAAAAATATAAAATAAAGCTGTTTTACACAGACTTTTTTTGGTGTTTTCTCTAAATGCAAAGTCAGCTCAGACAACCAGACCATGTTCAGAAATAATAAATCCCCTCACCATGTTTGTGAAAACAGATCACTGAACCTCTGCCATAAGACTGTAAGCATCAGATGTTTTTTTTTTAGCTTTCTGGACACTCCTTGTAAAAAGTTAACAACAAGCCTAATATAAAGCCCTATAGAGATCAAATCCACTGAGGAAACAGCATGCAGTTCTTTTTGTGCACATCTCTACTCGGCAGGCTTGTCAAAGGGACCCCTTTCAGAAACCAACAGAGTGTCTGACCTGTGGTGGGTACTCAGAATGACCTGGTCATGTCAATGAGCGGAGCATTCGTTTAACTGGTACTTATTGGTTGTGACTCAGAAATGACATCGGCAGATGTAGCTAAAAAAACTGCATTTTAAAATTGGACAAGTCGCTGGTGAAGCAGAATGAAAGGAAAACAAAAAGAACCACAATTAACAAAGTTTCAAAATTGTTTCTAAACATCCAGCACCAACAAATGAGGCAGACCCCCCCCCCCCCCCCCCCCCCGAACATAATTGGAGATAGAAATATAAAAAAATGATTTAAATATACAATAAAAATTTTGAGAACAAAGGAAAATTTTTGATTAAAAAATGTGAAGAAAATTTTTAATTAAAAATATTTAAATTGTCACATTTTGATTTTTTATTGTACAAATGTGCAAAATGAAAATTATTTAAAAAACAATTTTAAACAAAAATAATCGTATTCTTTCAACTTCTAATTAATTAGCAAATACATCAGTTGCATGACTGATGATAAGTGACAAATAACAGAAAACCCATTTTTTGTAAATTGATGTGCAGTATCTAAATTTACCACGTGTCCATGTATTTTGGTTTCCAGGAACTCTTCTTTTTGCTTTCCGTCATTTATTGATTCCCAAACAGGAATGCGGGCTACATGTGCCACTTAGTAAAAGAATCACACAAATCACTATTGTATCCTGATTTTTTCACTAACAAAAAAGATTTCATCAGTGGAGCTTAATTGAATCACAATGGCCAATGCAGTTAGCATCGATCTTCCCACTTTCCGTCTGTGAGCGCAGCATGTAGCTGTTTGGGTTGCTGACTGCCTCTTCCTTAAAGATTAAAGCAGAAAAGCAAATCTTTATATATTATTGATAAAATACACAATTGTCTGTATTCAGCAGCTGGTCACAATACAGGCTGAATGCTGTTCTGAGGCTCCCAAAGCTGACTGTAACAAGGCCTTTAAGCTGACTGACCAAAGAAATGCTTTGATTCTTCAGCCAAACGGAAACCAGGACATATTGAATTCATAATAAGTTCTTAACAAAATTAAACTTTTGCTTTATATGAACAAAAAATAATCTATTAAAAGCAGTTACGCAGGTTTAAATTACCCTTTTTAGAAGATACACCATGCCAACAAATCAGCGTAACAATGCCACAGTGTGTCTTTTGAATGTGCCGTGGCGGCATGACGTTGCGGGAAATTTGCAGCATTCGTGTCGCCACACTTGGTAGTAATAATGCCGCAGCACCGGACTTGAATGCATATTGCACCTTGGTGCAATAGAGGGAGGTGTCATGCTCACGTGAGGAGTTTCTGTCGAGCTCCGGATGGCAACTATATTGAAAATGAAAGTAAACGTGGCAGTAGGTTTCTCTTTTGTAAACAGAACCAGCTGAGATGATAAACTGAAGCGATGCAGAGCTCCAGGAACTTCTCTCCATTACAGCTGGAGCTCAGATCACCAGAGACTGCACAGGGACTGTGAAGGACAGACGTCTTTAGGAACGGCTTGTTAAAAAAATGTAACGATTGCGGCTTTGATCGCAATAATAGCAAGTTACATCCAAGGTAAATGGAAATCCACGGCAGCACAGAGACCGCCCTTATAACCCTTTCATACCACCATTGGGTCATGTTTTGTAAAAAGGACACAATTGCGAGACATCACCATCATGCTCTGACCACTTATAAATGACCTAAGGCACCCTGGTTCCACCACGGCATTGCAGCAAATTGGCAGCGTTCTTTTTTAAGAGTCTAAGTAAACAGTAGCGTGTACTTTGTTTTAGTTATGTTAGTGATACAAATAACTATTTCTGGTGGTAACAGCTAGTCCAAAAGCAAACTATTTAACACAGCTGAAGCAAAAATAAAGCATGACTTGTGTCTTATAGGGATCATATTGTTCAAAAATCACCTTTGCATCCTTCTGTGCTGCCATGTGTGTCTCCAACATCTTTATAAACACTCTAATTGTAAAAAAAATGTGTCAATTCATTTTCCATTTGCATTTTTTTAGGAATTATGTGCCTATAACAAGCTGTTTCAAAAATTCCCCGTTTGTGACATCACAATTAGGGAGAGTAGAATAGAACCACCTTTCACATGCAAGAGAGAGCTGCTGCTGGAGGAGCAGCGGCACTTCTCCAAGCCCCTCCCAGAAATCAGAGCTTCTCAGCTTACAGCAGCCTGAGTAGGGGTGGGTGGTTGCTGCCAGCTCCAGCTTGTTTCCTTAATGTGACAGAGTTCTGAAACGGCTCCTTTTAGAAGGTATACGTATAGAAAATGTTAAGAATAAAACTGCAGAAACTGCTTTACGTGAGAGAGATATAGTTCACAGAAATTCATGAATTTATTTGGTATCGACCGTAGAACTACTCTAACGTATGAAAAAGTCATGATAGGTCTCCTTTAAGATGCACCAACGAACCAAACGTGTAACATGTCTACTTTTTCAGTATTTATTCTTAGCTTAAATTATAACAACAAAACCAAAGCTTGATTAATCATTAAGCAGCTGTTCAACTTTCACAGTGCTTACAATCCAGAAAAAAGTATTCCCATATGTTCTGCATTAATAAAGTTTGGAGATGTTACCTGTTAAAATCTAACAATAGAAACAAAGAAAGGTAAACAGAATGAGTGCTTTGTTTTTCCAAAGTCCTGATCTGATACACCCCCAAAGAATCCTGGTTAGTAACCTTTATTTCTGTGATAAGGACACTGTCTCTATCTGGGCCTCAGAGTCATAATTTGCTGGATGTAACTTAATGTAATCTAACTACATTTTATTCAGGAGGACTGGCCCAGTGTTTTATAAACCTATAATCAGTGACATCAGTTTAGAAATAATGTGCTACATCTGCTTAACCTTTACAGAGATCCTTCAATAATCTGGTCATGGCTGAGGATCTGTGTCCATTTTTCACATTCCCAGCGTGGATAGAGTATCTTTGTTCATTACATGTGGTTCCCTTACAGCTGCATAAAAACCTACTCTCATTTTTTACATAATTGTAGTTTATTCAAGCTAAGAGCATGTTTTAAATATTTTCCCAGTGATTGGATCCTGTCTCTGGGCCTAATGCACACAGCTCTGGTTCAACTGAATGAATGCTCCAGCTAAAAGTCGTTTGGTTCCCCTGCAGTATCGATTAAAGGCATGCGTCAATAATCTAATTGGGCCTATTATTTCATTTAAAATATACCCCATGTTGATTTAGGCCTGAAAACCAAGTGCCTTGAAAATTAACTGTATATTTTATGCATACTTTTTCTAATATAGACTTCTATGGCTTGTGATGCAGTTTGAGTTGAGGGTTAGGGTAAGAGTTGCTATATGTTTCTTAAAGTTTGGAATTGTTCCATATTTGAGAAAAACATGATGCATCCCATTTAGAATCCATTTGTGCCTATGCTTGTCCCGTTGTTCCCAGTTGTGTTGGTTTGTTGTGGTGTAAAGCCACAAGTCATGGACAAGTCATGCAGGATCTGTACCAATCGGAGGTAGAAGTCTGTTGATTGAGAGTTGAGGAGAAACATGATTAAGGAACATTATTTGTGTTTATGTTTTGGTAGAAAATAGCTAATCTAATATGTTTATTACTCAACAAAACAGGTTATAACTCAAATGTTTTGTATTTTTTTAAGTGTAGAGGCAATAAAGCACTTTAGATGAGTTTAAACTGTATTTTTTTCTTGAGAAACTAAGTTAAGTCACAATTTACCCCCAGAGTTGGATGACATGGTTTGTTACAGTAGTTAGGGTGAGCTGTAGACCTTGGTAATCTGACTTGGTTGAAAACAAGAGGAAGACAGAAAGAAACAAATGCTAAGACTAGTTTGGGTTCAGAAAACACAACACCTCTATTTGAGCTGGCATATGAACACCAGAGACTCTCTTTGATAACTTCTAATAGCGTGGGGAAATCACAGCCCTCACCTCCCCACGCTCTGATCTAATATAGGTTTTATGAGCGATATCCAGCTGCCATTGCAGTAAAGTGAGCGTTTTGGTGTCGTGGGGCGGCTGGAATCAAATGCTAATTCTGATCTTGATTTCACTCATTCCTTTATTCTGCCCATCTCTCACTTCGGTTCTCACTCCCAAAGTGTGTAGGTTTCGTCTCCTGGAACAGAGCTTGGAAAATTACCAGCTGTGGGAGTGACGACCTCACAACGTTGCTGGGCGCTGTGGTAGATAATTATCATGTCACTAGAGTGCAAGTTGTGCTGCTTCACAATTCGCACTTTGACGTGCCGAGATGGAGCGGGACTATTAACTGTCATCACACGCATGACGAAAGGAGCAGGTAATACTGTGAATCACACTGATGAATTACACCTTTTGCTGGACATCGTACTTTGATTTACATCCATAATGTTTGAAATATCTTTTCACTAACTTCTACTATTTTTTACTGGTAATAAATCATGTTAGTGGCAGAAATTTGTCATCGTTTTGAGTCCGTTCATTTTTTTACCAATCAAATCTTGAGCCGACTTTTCATCCATGTCACCAAGTCAAGAAATCCAGACACACTGTAGCAGTAGCAAAAGATGTAGCTCTGCAGGTTAGTCTAGCCATGCTCCATCGTAGCCTCAGCAGGTCTACCATTGGACCAAACAATTCTTGATTGGGCCAATCACAACACGTTGTATTTGTTGAGAGGTGGGCCTAGCACCAAAGCTGCAACAGCATTAACTTGGGACCATTGACACTTTATCTTTTCTTTGACACATGAGCAGTACTTAAGTCAATTCATTCAAAAATAATGTATTTGCTTCTTGTTCTTCTTCTTCTTCTTCATGCATGGTGGTCTGCTCCTTTGAATGATTTCCATTAGTGATGAATACACCATGTTGTTCTTTGCTCTCATGCTGTCCAGTTGCATGTAGAGACAGTTTGAGAGACAACAGTAAATAAGACTCACGGGTTGTGTCTATGGGTCATGGCCAGACTACATATCACCAACCTTGCACAAACTCTCAAGAGCAAATCCTTCATTCTCATCTCTTCTAACCCTTTTCAGTCCATTTCAAGTTTTTTGTACAATGCACAACACAGCTGAAGACATAATTCCGAGTTAGGTAGAGTTTGAAGGTTGAGTCTCACAGAGACAGTAACCCCCCACCAGCTGCTTCTGGAGACTCCCCAGATGAGACTCAACCT